TCTCCGATTACTTGCATAATTATTCTCCGATCTGTCAAAGCACAATAGCAATAGGGATGATCATCTGTGTAACTAGCGGTGATTTCCCCCCAGTTAATTCTAGTTATTTTCTTAAAAAAATTATAAAAAATTAAATTTTATTCCAGAGCAATACCCAGGTTTACAGCTAGTTTTATTACTAAAAGAATTTTAACAAATGTAAAAAGAGTACCAAAAATCACATAATTTATACTATGGATATATGGTTAGACAAGAGATCATATACATATATATATATATAATATAGTATACTAGAAAACAGTTTTAAAAAACTGTTGTAAGTTCAGAATAAAAAAGTAAGACCCAATTTTTTATATACACAACAATATATAAGTGACCAATTTATATAGTATATTATGTGGTATGTATATGGACAGACATTCTTTTTTGAAGTTATATTTTTGATTTGTTTTTATTGTTGATCACTATAATGCATCAAAATCATAACTTTTAATGCATCAAAAAAGCAACTTTTGTATCACTTTACTTGTCTATTAGGGGTCCTTCACTATGCTCTGGACAATAATCAAATATAATGAAATATAATATATAAATTATATATATATTTTAATAAATTTTTAATATTAAATAACTTTTGATCTACTGGTCTGATTTGGGTGATTTAATTGTCAAAATGTTCATCTTGATGAGATGATTCTAATAAGTCTAAAATAGCTAAAATCCAATTACAGGATCTTGAGATCATTAAAGTTTCTTGTACTATTTTGTATATAATAAAATTAATTTTATTATATATGAAATAGTACAAAAAACTTTAGTGATCTCAGGATCCTGTAATTGGATTTTAATGATTTTGAACTTATTAGAATTGTCTCATCAAAACAAACATTTTGACAGTTAAATTATCCAAATTGGATCAGTATATCAAAAGTTATTCAATTTTAAAATATTAAAAAGATTTTAATAATTAATTAAATTGGCCAATCAGAATCAAACTAAAAATATTACATGATTTCTGGCACACCCTAGGAAGCACCCTTAAAACTTTAGCTAAAGAGAACTTAATTGAAGGTAGTGGTCTTAAACAATGGGTAGATACTCATTAGCATACTATGTATGATTGTATTTACTCTGTTATAAAATATAAAATACTATTAGAATTAGTAAGAATCTAATATTTTTTTTTTAAAAAACCTTTTAATTATAAACTTTTTTATACTATAAATTTTTTATTAATTATTACTGTAATTTGTAGATTCATAATCACAATCCGGATATTTTAAATACCTCAACTCAAGCAATCTTATGTATAAGAGTATTTTTTGATAACTTAAATGCTTTGGCATTTGACTTTATCCTATTAAACTAGCTAAATCTATTCTTGAATCACAGGATTGTATATTAGCTGATTGTTTTATTGGTCTAATTCGTTTAGAAGCAGCACTTAAAAAACTTCTAGACTGTGACTATCATAACTTTTGTCAACAAGCAATTGCAGTATTTAATAAAAGATTTACTGAATTTGATGATGATGCATATATCTTATACTTTTTTTGTATCTTGGTTATACTAGTAAGTATTTTTTTGTTTATAACTACATAATGTATTTATTTTATTTGCATATAATTAAATTCTATATTAATTTAGATATGGTATGGGCACGAAGAACATTCTGATGTATTCTTCTTGCAGCAAATAATTTTTATAAAAATATGAGCAAAAACCAAAAAAAAGAAATATGTTACTATCACAAATAAAAAGCTATTGATCACATATTGAACTATTTAATAAATCATTTGATGATAATGAATCTTCTTTGATCTGGTGAATGTCTTTTGAAGATTATTTTTTGAAAAATAAAGATCATATTTGTCAACTCAATAATAAACTATTCTCTATAACACTACATGTAGCCAGATATAAACAAATTTGGTTAACATTAGGGTGGTATTACGGCAAATATCATATACAACTTTTTTTAGAAAAATTAAAAATATAAAAAGCTTTTAGCATTTTATTTTGCAAGCCCAAAACATGAATTACCTTTTTTTTTTTTTTTGGTATTAAGGTGACCTCTTGGTAGGGTCTCTTTTTTATTCAGTTACTGATTAACTTTTTACCATATGCTAAGCCCCTTCTTGGTGCCCATACAGTATATATATTTTTGGAGAATACATACTAGCCACATATACAGCTTTTGATTGTCTATTTAAGTAGTCCACTTATTACTAAGTTCTACACTAGATGCCATACCTATAACCCAACTAGGGGGTTATCTATTTAAACCCTCTGCACTATATATAAGTCAACCTATATATAACCGAATTTTTAGGGTATATCCTTTAAGAATCCAGACTTAGGGCTTTAAAGCAGGCTCGACCAGCGAAGCCTTTGTTCTCGAGATAAACCTGCTAGAGCTTTCTGTACCCACAATCTGGCTAGTCTAGGCTTCAGTAACTTATGCCCGAGTTTGAGGACAAGGACTTGCAAGCCGAAGCCGCTACTGAATTATCTTACTTTTCTACTAATAAAGATATTGAAGATCTATATAAATTTTATACAATATAAATTTTAGTGAAGATGATACTTCTAATTATGAAGAACAGCCTTTTAGTGAAGAATTACATAATAATAAACTTCCAGAAGAAGAAAGACTTAAAATCGAAGAATTGTTAAATCTTGATGCAGCTAATTTTACAAAAGATCTAAATGAAAGTATTTTTTATACTAATTTGAAATTTTTTGAAGAAGGTATTAATATTCATAACAATAATATTAAGGTTAATAATATTAATACTAAAAATAGTAGTGAAGATGAGGAGATTGAGATTCTGAAAAAGAAATTGATTCAATATTAGATTAATCAATTTATTGTAATTCAATAAATATAAATATAAAACTTGGCAAAATTAAATTGATTAATTAAAATCAGTTGAAATTTTTGAATGTGTACCAGGTAGATAAAATTCTTTAAAGCTTTTTTATATTGGTTAGTATCTGTATTAAGGTTTGTTAATAGTGAAATATATTGTAAAATTGTCAAGAATACTTTTTGTTAAGATGCTAAAGGTGGTTGTTTATGCATATTTTCAAATAATAAGCAATTTATGATAAAATAAACATTTTGAATTTTTCTGATTATGTATCATACTTAGTCTTAAGATCTGATTTGTAGTTCAAGAAAACTGTGCTATAAACCTGGCATATAATCAAAATTTGCAAATTAGTTAATAAGTGATATGAGATTTTTAGGATTAGTAATTTTCTGATAAAATTGCCACTTATTTTTTTTATAAAATTTTAACAAGCATTTATTACAGTAGTATAGTAAGAAATCTCTTATCTGGGAGATCAGTAATAATAATATCCTGATCTATTGGGATTAGTGGCAATAAAGTTTTTTTTTCCTATTTACATATATTATTCTATAAACTTGTTATAGTGATTAGAAATTATTAAAATCCTAAAAAATATATAGCATTCCTATTATTGATAAAATTCTAAAAGAGGATTCTTCTAAAATCTAACAATTAAACTTGTAATTAACAAATTAAACTCTTATAAGAGCCAGTGATAATAAATAATCTAAAAAAACAAAATAACCCAAATGACCAGATACTTGATAATTTTAATACAATATATATTTAATTTCACAGATTAATATAAGTTATTACAATAGATTTTGATATACTATTTGTTGAATATTTTATCACTATACTGTTTAATTTGCAATAACAATGCTTAAGTTTATTTATTTAATTTGTGCATGGTTTCTAAAAAATAAAACAACTAATTTAAATAAAATTAAACAATAAAGCCAATAAGCTAATATATTCCTATCTGAAATATGAATAAATAAGTTTAGTCTTTCAGAATTACATGATTATTTAAACAAAATTACAGTATATTAATATATACTTGTACTGGAGTTTAACCCTGGTTTTATTTTTTTTATGTCAATGCTGTTTACAACTGGTTTTGATATAAAATAAATAAACTCAGTTCTAAACTTAAAATTCTTACGATTAATATTTATATCAAATTGTATTGGAAATATTAGAAATATCAAATTTTATTAGATTTATATCAAATTTTCAAATTGAAATCAGAATTTAGAATTCTTATTTCAGATCGCTTATTAAATCTAAAATATTTCAGAAATCAAAAAATAATTTCACCCAAAATATTAGTTAAATTATCTAAAACAGACTGGTAGATCAAAAGTTATTCAATTTTAAATAAATTAAAAATTTTTTTAATAATTAATTAAATGGACCAATCAGAATCAAGCTAGAGTGATCACACTATACATGAATGGGGGTGGCTACTAAGTAAAAATATTATATAATAAATAGCACACTCCTAATAGTATAGAAATCCTAATATATACTAAAAATAGGGTTAGATAAACTAGGTAGAGATATGTATTTGTGGATAAAATAGTTCTAAACTAAAGTCTAACTAGTTGTACTATAGTTACCACATAATTTGTAATTATAATATATATAATAAAAGATGTAGGCAAAAGATACCACACTTAAAAAAAAAAATAAATAAAAATTCTATTTTTTTATCCAACCAACTTTATATTGCTATATTTTCTACTATCTTTCTTTTTAAAGAACTTTATGAACATACTAACCAAGCAGAACAAAAATTCATTACACTTAACCAAAACTTATCAAATCCAAAAAGTTAAAACTTTCTGAATTAAATTTTACAACTCAAAGCTCTAAACAGATTTCTTTCTTCTTCTATAGTTATTTTAAAGTATATTTAAAAATAGCTGCAACTAATAATCAAATCATAGACCTTAACCTTAAAGAAGCATTCAACAAATTCTTCTTAATATCTATAGACCCACAAACTCTAGCCAGAATTGTTACCTACTATGATATTACTCAAATCTCTAAACTAACTATTGCAAATTTAAAAGAAATCTAAAAAAATCATATCTCGACCAAGCAAACCAATATATAATCAAAAATTCAAGATCTCTGTCATCATATATAAACTTTATTGCTAAAAACTCTAATACTCAACAACAACACAACAATCAATTAGCTTTATAATAAAATCTAAAACTTCTAAAATTAACAAACAATAATAGCAACATTCTAATAACTCTACTACTATTGCTACAAATCTCAATACTCAACAACAACTACAACAACAATAAAAACAATAATAATAACAACAACTAATTAGTTTTTCTACAAAATCTAAAACTTCTAAAATTAACAAATAATAATAGCATCTCAATACACTACTAAATTTAAAATTTCTAATATTGAAAAGCTTCTTTTTTATTTAAAACTTACTTTATATCTTATACCTTAATATTTTAACTATATGTCTTTATATATTTTATTATCTCACATATATTTTATAACTTTATATACTAAATATAGCTTAGTATTCTTTATTATATCTCATAACTTTATACTATTAAATATGCAAATCTCTTAGTTTAGCTTTACTTTTAAATTTATTTAATTAAATATTCTATTTACCTTATATTTATTTTCTTCTAAAACAAATCTAGATAAGTCTTTGACTACTCTAGTAGATTTATGTCACAGATATAGTAGTCTAAGCTTTTATTCTTGCAATATAGTTTTACTTTTTATATTTTATATATTAAAATTAGCAACTCTTTGTAATTACTATATTAAAAACTATTAATAAAGATATGAGCAAGGCTTTACCTTAATATCAAAAAAAAGAATAGCAGTATTTATTATAGTTTAATTAAATATTAAAATATGAGTTGTATTTATTGTATTATATCAAAATATCAATTATTTAATTTAAAAGTTTTAAAAATTAAAAATAAAATAGCTATTTTTTCATATCAGTTAAAATTTGTAGAGAATTTATTGTTTACTATATTTAATATGTAAAAAAAATCAAAAAATTGCTTGACAACTTTTATCAATAACAAATTTTGAAAAAAAAGATAGTTTGAATTTTGCTAATTTGTTTATTGAAATAGTAACTTACTTGGTTAATTTATTTAATTTCTGACTATTTAAAATTTGTTTTTGATTTATTGAGTAAGGTGCTTGAGAATACTCTAAATCAATTTAATTTTACAGTTTAAAGTAGTTTTTAAAAAAAATAATACCACAAAAAATAAATGAAAAAAAATACAAAGAAGATATTATTAGTATTATAGAATGCTACTATTAAAAATGATCAAAATTTCTTTTTTTTAGAGAAGTTAGTATAGTATAATCTGGTTCGATCTTTTTTAAAAAGTTATTTTTTTACTTTAGTGATTCTATCTTTATTTTATGAATTAGAAGTAGATTACAAAATTAATCTCAGCTAGCTAAATCTATATACAAATTACTAAACTATTATATTTTTTTCAAATAAAGATTTTCTCAATCTGTCTTATTATCACAGTAAAAAATAAAGTTAGCATTAAATTTTATGCTAGTGTATAACCAAGGAGCAACCTATCTAAGTGAATAAGTTTTATTTTTGAGATCCTCAATTTTTTGAAGATGTGAGCCCAGTTATCAACAAATAACTCTTATTGACCTTGTCAGAATCACTACTCTACAATAAAGTGCTGCCAATCTGATGACACTTTCTCATAGAAAAGTAAAAAAAAAAGAGGTAAGGATAAACCAAAAATAGGAAAAGTGAAAAATAAATATATAAGAAAATAACCAAAATACAAAAGAATTGAAAAGACTATTCTAAAATCTAAAAGAACTTGTCTACAGATATAAAAACCTGCTAATTAGGTAAAAAACTATCTATATGGTTGTAGAAATCTATATACAGAGCTATCTAATAAAAAATAAAAATATAAACTAAAATATACTTTAACTTATACAAGGGCTAAAAATTATATACATATAACTTCAAAATACTATATATATCTAATATATCACTCTAACTTGCAACCTTATTTAAATCTACCTCAAATCATAGAATACTAATTTTAAAGTCTTGATATGTGATTATTGGTTCTATTTATAACAGACAGCTTTTTTCAAAATTCTCTTACAGTTCGTCACTTCATATCTTGCTTTTATACTATACGAGATTAAACAAGATCTTCTCTATAGTAAACTAGCATCATTGAAAGCTACTTTCTCAGGTCTATTATATAAAGCATTCATTTCTGTATAGTCAATGCTGATCTAAATACAAGACTTTCATATACTTTGATTTAACCCAAACAGAACATTCTCCTTATATATAATTGTTGTATTTTTTATTTATTATATTATAACTTGAGGCTTTGTAAAAATAAAAATAGTAAAAAATACTAATTTTTTAAAAAGGGTTGCCAAATCTTTCACTTTTTATTAAAACTTATAAAAAAAGAGAATAGTGAAGAAATAGTATAGTTTTGAGAGTTTTCTAATCAAGAAGTGTTGTTTTAAGAGTTTTTTATAGCCTTCTGTTTTCAAAATAACTTGAGTCTTTTTTCTACTTTCTGTTCTCAAAAAGTCCTCCAGTTTGGATACTAAACACAAAATGAGTTTACTTGAGACAAGAAGAAAAAAAGCTTGACCTCTTTGCAAACTGTCCAAAATACCTACTTCTTGATATATTATATTTAAGATTTTATCGACAATAGTTCATATTAAGAAAACTTCAAGTTATTTGTTTACTTCTGGTTTTAAGTCTTCAACTTGCTTTTGGGTACTAGTTGATACAAGTTATAGTAAGGAGAGTTGCCTGTTTTAAAAAGTTATTATAATATTAACTTCGCTAAAACAAAAAGAGATTTTAATCATTTTTAATAATGAAG